AAGCAGCCTGAAATCACGCTCCACGGAGCAACCTTCTCAAGTGTGTGATTGTGCAAATATCTACTATGTATTTGCTATATATATATATATATGTGTGTGGCGGTCTTCAATTGTAGCCAGCCATGAGTTGTTAATGTTTGTTGAAGACTTTATATTGCAGTGTGAGAGTTCAAGATATCAAGCGCGTTTCATTTGGAGACGATAGTTGTAACGCTGTGTACGTCCGACATGGACGGTGGGCGAGGGCGGGTGTGATAGGCTCTCCGACCTGGTCCTTCGGAACGCCGTATTGCATGGGGGGAAAGCCGGCACGGAGCCAAATCCCTAGGTACTGAAGTGAGTTGAAGACCAAGGGGAAGGCCAGATCCCATCTCCCGGGACCAATCCAAGGCTGACAGGACAAGAGATAGGTGTTCTATGGTTTTCTCACACCCCAACACTCCCAAGATGGCCTACCTTCACCGTCCAAATGAAGCAGCAACAGGACGTTGCAGGACATGGTTTGCTGTGTAGATGCCGCCGTTTGGGACCCATTTCTCAGCATGTCTCCGCGCAGGAGGTTGAAGGACCGGTCCTTGCAGCCGCAGACGTTTTCGCAGAACATCCCCTGCAGCAGCTGTGCCTCTTGGTGGGACGGTGGTGCGAACAGCGCACAACCTGGTTGAGGATGGCCCCGGTTGGCCGAGCTATCTCGGTGATTTTCGGACCAGTGTTCATTTTCCTGCACCACGGATGCAACCATCACCATCCATCACCCCCATCACGGATTTGGCATCCCATTGCGGTTGACGCGACGAGGTCAAGTCCTTCCAGTGGCGGCACGCCCTGGCTTTGCTGGCAGATCTTGGCAGCAGCAGACTCCGAAGGGATGCGGCGTCGTACGTGATGCGGCCAGAGCTTTGGCCTTTGGCCATGGAGACATTGAGGACGTCGACTGATGGGTTCGGGTGAAAGAGGTCAGATCACGAAAGGTGGCCTGTTGCAGTAAGGTCGAGTGCTTGAGTCGGAGTAATGGCAATTGTGTGGACTGGTGTGATCGTAGTACAGTACTGGAAAAGTAACATAGAACTACTGTAGTAACTATAGCAACTAGGGTTTGCAGTGCAAAGCATGTTCCATGTGCGTTTCAGGGGGTGCTATGTGCACTGTTCCGCTGTCCTTGGCCGCAGTGGATCCAGCAGGGACCCTCCAAACCTCTATGTTGATCCTGAGGTTTTATTCTTGTTTCACTCAATCTCCACGTTGTCCAGCGCGGAGGTCCAACTTGGATGCTGCAGTAGCTGCCACCACGCTGGTGTTCAATGCGCTGCTGAGTGCTTGTATCGGTCAATGGCAGGCATGCTCGCCTACACTGTTGGACATTCACCCGGGTGATATCAGATGGTGCAACACGCGTTGATCAGCTCGCCCCTCCAACAAACATGCTTGCGTCAAATCCAGCTTGGCGTAGATTGTAGATTCCATGTTTGTTTGGCATTGGGCGGGTCGTGTCGGCCAGATATGTATTGTATAGCTGTTTAATCCCATACATATACATATATAAATGTACAGATTGTTGTTTATTTGCGCAACTTCTACACATGCAAATTGCACCACCTACTGCCCTGGTATGGTTTTCGGGTCAGAACTGTTTTACCAATTGCTGTAGGTTTGGTTCCTCAAAAGTTGCCAGGTATTACAATCAGGTGGAAGATTCCAGACTAAATAGAGACAGCCTTTTGGCGAAACACGGCTAACCATGTTTGTGTCAAATATATTTGATTCATTGAATAGTCCACTCGAAGGCATATGCAAGTTCCCCGCTGAAGGTCTCCCTGATGGTTTACCTCACTATGCGACGACTATCCTTACAAAGGGATGCTGCTTGGTAAAGGCATGGGAGCGGAAACTCTTTGGTCTCAAGTGGAAGGCTGGACACCCAAATTATGGGGCTATCCGGGCTATCCATGTTGGTGTCGAGGGGTGTGGCTTGTGCATTTCGTATCATATCAAGTGTTTGGGCCCGGGAGTGGCGCAATGATATGCCGTTATGAAGGAATGCCCGGCAAAGCGTCGGATGATGATCTGATGGGATGTTCAGTGGGGAAGCAATCCAAGTCATCCTATGTTACTATATGACTATATGGACTGTGTCTTACTATGTTGTTCTAAAAAAGGAGCTGGCAGGGGTTTGGTGTGTTTTGGTATTTAATCATCTATAGAACATATATGAGACCTGAAGAAGCCTTTGTCATTCTTACCGGTGTTAGTGGTGCACATGCAAGGAAACAGAAGCAGCAGAGATGTAGAATGTTAAGTAAACCTGGGCTGAACATTTGGAGAAGAAGAGGGCTTCCATGACTCTACAAATCTCTAGATGGCTCAGAAGCTGTAGTTTGCGTGCTACTGTTCCCAGGTTATCACCTACAGCAGCCTGCAGGGTGCGCTCAGCCGACAGCAACTGGGACGACCATTGGGGTTTGATGACATTGGTATTATAGCCTCTCCACCGAAGCTGATGGCCTCCAGGTGTTGCCTCGCGATGTTTGGACTGGCTCCATTTAGCTCCTTGACAGATGCCAGGGCCATTTCATTCCATCTTGGTAAGCTGGAGTATACTTCCATCGAGTTGTCGGCTTGTGGGAATAGCCCACGTCGAAAACACACAAAAATCGTAGGAGCATGAGCACCAGGGCAGCCAGGGTATCATCTCTGGTGCACGCGCTAATAGTCACAAAGGAGTCAGAGAGAGTTGTGATGCCTGTGCGATTTGTCAGTCAATCTTTATGAAGGAAGCATAGACTGGAGTTCGCAACACTACAATCTTGACCGGAGAAACTGAGATCCCCAGCCAGTTTCGGCAGCAATTTGTGTGACTGCCCTGTGTGCCATGCCAACAAGCAATCCAAATGGACAAGCACGACGGTCGGCTGATGCGCGGCTCGCCGGCGTGTCCGATCAAACGCGTTTCCCGCCGTTCGAGGCAGTTCTGGGAGCGGAGCATGGAGATGTTGCAACACACCGGGCGCGGGTCGATCGAAACGGACATGGTGGCCTCTCAGCTGAAGCTATATGAAGGAACAAGAGGGTGAGGGGGGTGGCCTTTGGGATGAAGAATCACAAGCTCGGAGGGGTGTAGCTTGTTCCAGATTTGATAATTTAGCTCGTAGGCCACCAGTGCAATAGCTGACCTTTCATGGTGCAATCCAAAGTGCCTTTGTGCCTATAGCACTTAATTGCTGAGATTTGTTACAACAAAAGAAAGCTATAATATAGTTACTGGCTGGCATGGGCAATAATCCCACACTTTGGGTTGATACTTGTATGACTGGTCATTTTCAATTGCCTTTCACCTCCACCCATCCCCTATCACCTAAAAATCCGCGACTGCGGATTTCGAGGTCTTCAACAGTGGCATTTCAGGTGCCCCTTGGCCACGCGCGCAGCTGGCACTCGCCGTTCACCGGCGTCGTGACGGTGACGGCACGGGGCGTGTGGCGACGTGGAATTGCCTGAAACGCTGGGAAGTGGCCACGGCCATGCGCCAGGCAAGGTCATCCACGCCTTCTCCGGTCAGCATCGGTTTGAGAATCCCCGACTCCTGATGGGTCGCCAGGTGTCATGGTGTGGCCCCACAAAGTCAACCAGGCCTGTAGAGTCAGGTGTACTTAGTTGAACCATGTTGAACCTCCACAGCAACCAGCAGGCTTCTGGCAGCAAGTCAAATCACGATGAAACGCTTGAATTACCTTCACATAAAGGTTGTGAACTCCAGCCATTGAATCATTTCTTTGGTTGAACAGCCAGTGATCTGAGCATGCTTTGTAGATGCTTGTGGTGCGTTTTCTCTCCAAACTTGGATTTTTCTGGAATGACTCCGGTTTACGTTTTGAAGACAAGGAAGATCAAGAAAGTATATAAGCCGCAGTGCTGTACTCCACAAACATCCTACTGTAACAGTGACAGAATGTCATTGAGTCACATGTTCTGGAACTCCGGACGTCCTGCACCAAACACTCTCTTTCTTTCTGAAGACTTGTCCGCTCAGCAGCGGAGCCCTCCGCCCAGGGCGGCCTGCGACCCGATGCGGTCACTTGGTCCGTCACCATCGGCTCGGCGAGCAGTGTGCACTGGAGAGTGGCCATGCGCTGGTTGAAGGACGAGAGCCATGCGACCTTCCGCCTGCCATACGCAGACGATGGGGCCACGCCCGAATATTATGGGTCATTTTTTGCATCCCTGAGTGAGCGGAGCCTTTTGAAGTAGGAAGATACAGGCTATGTGATCTATGTGCATTTTTTCTCAGACGGGGTCAGCAAGCTTTACATGTATTTATAGTCAGAGTCATTGGGACTTTGCTATATATTTGTGCGAGTGATCATGGTGATCAGCCAGGACAGGTCATCAAACATGTCTTTACCCCACCACAGCGTGCAACATGATATGTTCAAAATCTATAGCAAAAGCTACCCCAAAAGTCCATTCACCCAAAACAATGTCTTCCGAATCTTGGCCCCCCTTTGAGGAGGCATTGGAAGGCTCAGTTCGATTGGCTTCAGTGGCATGTAGTGCTTTGATCACTGCATGTGAGGGTTCATTGGCTTGGTGGGAGCGGTCCTTACAGCTGCTGCAGCTTCATCATCACTTCAGTAACCTGGCACCATAAGATATGGCGATTTGGGGCCGAACTGGGGGAACTCTTGGCTTTTGAGGGAATACAAATGGATCAAACCATGTTTGATTACGCGATTCTTAGGGACATTGGGACAATGTGATGACACTTCTATTGCCAGCAATTTGCACTTTGCAAATAATTCTATTCAAGGTGTATTCAATTTGTTAGCTTTATCGGTTTCTTGTGTTATGAAGCAGCCGACAAACTGCGAACAGGACATGTGTTCAACATATAGACGCTGAGACGACTTGAGACGGAGATTGGTCCGAAGCACTCGACCTGTTGGGCTTTGCTCCATGCAGTTGACCAGCTGTTGGAAGTTCTTGATCTCCCAGATTTCTTGGCATGGCCTTCGCAATGGGTCACGTGTGGTCTTGAGTCTAGACGGCCAAGGCATCCAACTAAATTCGAACAATACAATCATCCTTTCATGGAACAATACAACTCTACAACTTCCAAACAACTTCCAATGGAGTTCTAACAACATCTAACAACAAATTCTGCAAATTCCAACAATACAATCTTTGTATTTCTTTCATGCCTCGTTCCGCAGGTTTGAAGGCCGATGGCATCGTTCCGCAGAACGGTGCCATCCGCGCATGCGAGAGCGGTCGCCGGTGGGAGTGGGCGCTGGAGCTGGTGAAATGGAAGGCAGCTGGTGCCAAAGTGGAAGCACCTTGCATGTATGGTAGTCATGTGCATGTACCCATTTTGCTTCCATAAACGGGAAGTTCAACATCAATAAATTGAACTCTCAAGAACTCCGGTGGGCGTCCTCATTGAACTTCGGGTTCCTTTGGGATCCTCCGCCCCTGTGCCATTGACAGCCAGACCCTGGGACTTTTCATGCCTTTGTTTTCTTTTGATTCACATCATCCAACCCGAACATCTTGAGGAGGGGCAGGAGGGGTAGTTGGTAGGGCCAGGGGAATGGTGGGGAAGTCATTGTATGCCAATGTATGCCATGACTTTGCCCTTAGACACCCCTCCGTGAGGAAAAAGGAAAGCATTTTCCCCGCCCGAGGTTGATGAGATTACTCTCACAGCAGCCATTGGAGCATGCGGACGTGCAAGTGCATGGCAAGCTGCATTGCTGTTGGTGTCTCAGATTCTTGGATGCCAGCGTTGGCCAAAGCTGCCTCTCTCTGCAGAACTAGTAAACTATAGTAACTATATAGTGGGATTCATCTTTTGACAAAGAGGTGTAAGCTTATGAGAGCGAGCTCCGTTTTCAGAGCGTTTTCTTCCCCCAAAATGTATGGCTGTGGGTCATGGCACCCGGAGCCGGTTGACGCTGGTAGGTTGACGGGGCGCCCAGTAGTCTATTCTGTTCATGTTCGGTGGCCAACCAGGGTGGCCCGGTTTTGACCCAAAGCCATATGCTATGCCTTTGTGCATGCACGCTTGCATTTGAAAGGCCGATGGTCTCCCCACGATCTTGGATCAAGATGTCAGCGACAAGTTAAGAACAGATGTCGCTCCGCCTTCCGCCATGACCGAGAAAGGTTTCCGGATTGCGAATGAGGTGAACAAAGAAGGATGGGAGAAAGCACAGTTTCCAATCCTTTGTGAGACGTGCTTGGGCGACAACCCTTATGTTCGCATGCAGAAGGAGGACTATGGGGTCGAATGCAAGATTTGTGTCAGACCCTTCACCATCTTCCGCTGGAAAGCCGGCACCCAGGGGCGATACAAGGCTACTGTGGTGTGCCAAAGCTGTGCGAAAGTGAAGAATGTGTGTCAGACATGCCTCTTTGATCTGGAGTATGGCCTGCCGGTGCAGGTGAGAGACAAGTACTTGGAGGAGCTTGGGGCCAACAAGGTCTCGTTGCCGCACTCCAGAGTAGGCAGAGACTATCAGTTGCAGAATGCGCAGGCCGACAAGGATGGTGAGGATTTGCCTTACGGAAAGGTCGGGGCCCATCCCATGTTGCAGAGATTGGCTCGGATGACGCCTTACTACAAGCGAAATGAGGCCAGAATTTGCACTTTCTACGTGAAGGGTGCCTGCAACCGAGGCGCCGACTGCCCCTTCAAGCATGAGCTCCCGCAAGGAGGCGAATTGGCCAACCAGAAGTTGAGGGATCGTTTCCATGGTGAAAACGATCCACTTGCTCCTTACGACTGCCAAGTCCGTACAGTTTTTGTGTTATTTTGAGAGTCACTTGTAGTAGGGTCCAGAGATTAACTTTTGATTCTACAGCAATGGCAAGCAACTCTTTTTTGGGTGTCGCTCATGCTGAGGCTGCGAAGATCATGCGTAGAGCCGAAGAGGATCTCACGTTGATGCCTCCGGAAGATAAGTCCGTGACCACCCTTTACCTGGGAGGGCTTCCGGCAGGCACCAAGGAGAAGGAGACCAAGGGCTCAGAGGTTTGTTGGGATTTGTTTATGCATGGATGTTTATGTCGAAAGGTCAACTGCAGATGTTGCCTAGATGAGCGATGTTGCTCAAACAGCTTGGGTGAGGTTATTTGTACTTGTACCGCTCATTGTGACGTCAGCTTTGTTTTTTTGGGGAACGCCTCTAAAAAGTTTTGCTTTGGGGAAAGTCATTTACGCTTGACATGCAAGAGACGAAGACATTTAAATACATGTTTAAGCCTACGGGTGTAAAACCGAACGTGTGACTACTGCGATTTTTGAAGTTGATGCTACGTGAAAGGTGGGGGGTTGGGTTGGGGTGGGATGAGAACATGGTCATCATTTTCACGACAAGTAATCTTCGGTTTCATTGCATTGTCATCGGTTTCACCACATTATCTTCGGTTTCATAGCATTGTCATCGGTTTCATAACATTGTCATCGATTAGTCGTGTGATTAATCTGGGGTGGGGGGGGGG